TTCTGGCCGGGGGCGGTATGGCTCGCTGATTACTACAATGTCGGCATGGTAATTGTGTACGGCCTGCCAGAGTATGTCCTGTGCTGCGCGGCAATGGTTCAGGTTTACTTGCAGCACGGTGAAGGACGACATTGTTTTCTGTGAATTAAATCAGGGCATTAGCTCATGGTGGTTGTTCAGTTTATGGCGCAAATATGCTGATTGATTGAATTTTGGATTTGGATGACTTTCTTTTCTGTGCCACACTGTGGTGCACTTCTACATTTAAATTTAGACTAGGTAGTAATTTTAAAACTTGCTCACTTTTGATTAATTAATGAAGGAATCCTATTACTTGTCCCTTCCTGCCTCTTCTTCCTGTCTCTTCTCCTTGTCTCTTCTTCGTGCCTCTTCTTCTTTTTGCTTCTTTTTCTTCTCTTCAGATCTCGTTGTTGTCCCTGTACGTAATAGGTGTGTGTGAGTCTTCATGTTTCAGGGTTTAATGAATATTTATCATCAATCGATGAAGGTGATTGAATTGGCTCCTTGCTGTCTTACGCTGGAATATGCTTACTGTCTATCCTTCTTTTGATTTAGAAATTAGGGGCCCAGTAATATAGGCGGTTTGTGGATTGTTTGCCTTTATTCATCGTTATTTCTACATTACATTGTTCAGCGTTGACTTGTCATCTATGTCGTACTATTATTAATTGTAAAGATACTTAGCAAACTATATTATATTATTTTGTGTTTATGTCATGTTGCTCTGTTGCTCTGATGCATCTGCCATCTTAACGGTGAGGCAGCTTGATGGGTTGACAACACGTAACATGTCTAGTCAATTTTGTTCAATCTATTTGGTGTATTGTAGTTGATTATTATTTTGGCTTCGATCTCCCTGTCTTCCTTGGTAACTGTCTTGATTCGTTGTGACTTCCTTCTCTCTGGTTTCTATGATAGTGGGCTCTTGAAAATTCAAATTAAATTCAATTTTATAGTACGTCTTTGTCTTACTCGATTGGGTGTATTTGATATTTTCTTTACTTATTTCATGATGTTCTCCCTCTTCATCGAATTGAGCGGTACTGTTACTCTTCTTTATTTTTCTTCGGATTATTTTTTAATTTCTTGTTTGTCTTCATAACTTAATTTAATAAATGCAGAACGACTGGGCGATGGTGTTGTGTCGAGCAGTCCGATTTTATATTCCTTCTTGCTATTCATTTTGCATCTTATGTTACCTTCTGGCGTATGCTGTTGTTTTTGCTGTTTTCACTGTTCGCCGCTGTTCGGTTGCTTTGCTATTGTGTTGATTTTAACCTTTTAGGCACTATGCGTCACTATAGTAGCTTTCGCGGATGTCATCTTTCTGTACGATGCGCCACTATAGTGGCGCAATGTACTCGTGTAGAGAGAACAGCATTACCTGTCACACATTGTAGTGCTGTATCATTTACACGTAATTCGCGTTGATTGGTTATTTTTCTGAAATTTTTTCTGAGATTGATCTGAAAAGTTGATTGTCAATTTAAGGTAATGCGGTAACTCTGATATTATGCTACTTGTTTACCTCTAACACGTCATTAATGGCGTTCTGTTTGGACGTTTGTTCTTCGCTCTCCATTCCTGCTTCTGCAATGCAGACTTTGCGCATCATTATTATATCTCTGTTTTATCGGTGGTACTTTTGTATTCTTTTACCATGAATAATGTTTTTCGGTATGCTGTAATTACTTACAGTGGCATTGTTGTGTGACGTGTTACACAGTTTGCAGCTGCCTTAACTTATACTGTTTGATTCCTACCTCTACCTATACCTTATATTCGTTTATTTTCTATCGGGATTACATTGCCCTTGACAAGTTACCTCTTCCTTTTCTTTTCTTTTTTATCCGACTTCGAGAAGGAGGAGGGTACTCAAATCGATGTTTTTTTAGAATGCTTAGAATTTCCTTTTTTACATTATGACAGGCGACAAGAGATTAGGTTCCGTATTCATTTTAAACGACTATAATTGTTCTACCAGTTCAGTTTTTTTATTGTGCTATGCTAACGGGGTGCCGACCAGTTCATTCGCGACCTACGTCAGACCCGGTTTTTGTAGGCGACATTGCAGTCCCTGAGCCCGCGCGCTGTACGCGATCGGATTGGTTGGTGTTTTTTGTTAATAACTCGAAAACGAACCAACATCTTGGCAAAGAAAAAAGTTGTTTAGAATCACCTTAGCAATCATCCCTCTTCGGCTGTCAAGGTGGTCGCGTGACAGCCTGTATATCCGTGATGATCCCACTTGCAAAAATTTATGAAATTTGTTGTTTATTAACCACTTAAATTCGGTGAATTTTTTTTCGGTTTATGGTTATTAGTTAAGCAACGAAAACCCAAAATCACCTTAGACTATCCTAGAAATACTACGGGTTCCACTAAAAAGTGTGAAATAAAATAATTTTTAACAAAAGACATATCCGACTTCGAAATGCACTAAAAAGTGTCAAATAATTTCTATTTCATTTATACCAATGTTCCATAGCTATTAATAATATCTACTTAATCGTTAACTAGGATATCAAATATATTTCAAAGTTTTCGGAGGCGGCGCAAAATTAAAAACTTTTCCTCTACTAGGAAGATCCTAGCCCGGGTGTCGGCAACCTATGATAAATGATCCATTTGATAATTTCAAGTAAACAATATTCAACGGGAATCAACATACCCATTGCGAATTAACTATACTGCAGTTTACGAGTGACCGCACTAACTCGCGCAGCTCACTAGGTCTAGGGCGATTTTTAATAGCGTGTGTGATTCGGTTTAATGCGGCTCGCATTTACTTGCGTATTTAGCAATATAATATGCGACGGCTGTAACATTTCCGCATGGTTGAATATCCATGTTTGCTTTCCAAAGCATTAAAAGATTTGGGTTGTAATTATTCACCATAACTTCATCTGCGGTTCTCTTAAGTACGCAGACACGCTCGTTGTTGGCAAGTGTGTCATCTGGGCCTAAGCACACCGTTCTTTCATTTATCGGTCTGGGAAATTCAAATCGACAAGAACGATCTTTGTAACATGTATGAGAATGTTTATGAATTTGGACTTTTTGAACTATATCGTTCATATCGTGATTTTCGACTTCCAATGAACAAGATGCAATTTTCTCAATAACGTTTTGGCCTCCGTTGGTTAGAAAATCAGGTACGTTTGCACACCAAATAAGCATGTGTAAATGTGGACTTCCTCTATTCTGAAATTCAATTCTATACCAAAAATCGGTAACAACGCCGCCTAAGCAATGCGAGTTTTTTAAATACTGCATTAACGCGTTTACGCGTAACGTAAATTGTCTTACGATAACTACCGGGTGTCTCTGAACCAACTGTAGTCGATCTGCAAACGTTAGGTTTTCAAGTTCGGTCGTTGATTGACCTTCGGATAGTAGTAATGCCTTCAACATATCTGGCCAGTTTAGAGAACGTAGCAAACCATGTGGGCGGTCCAAGACTTCGGACCATGACAATTAATTCCGAACAGCATCGTTTCCAGTATGACACTGATCCTCTTATGTTTCTCATTGTGAGATGTATGTTGTCGACTAATCCCTCTGGAGTATATTCACCTTGGCGCATTCTACATGACACTGAAATGCTAGCTTTTGCGCGGTAATATTCAACCACAGATAATGCGAAGAACAGATAATCTGTTCGTTGGAACCGTTTGTCATTGCTCAGCATACGTGCTTGGAAGTAATCTAATGGTGTCATTGGGATGTCACGATGCTCCCTGAATCCATTTCTTCCATCTGGAAACAGGAAGTACCAACACAGTTCTTCAATTCTTCTCTCCCTCTCTAGGTTCAAAGGAGGCGCTGTGTTTCTATGTATATTTGCCAGTTGTATCGGGTAATTTTCTGCGTTATTATTATTATTATTACTGATACAGACGATATTATCGATGATGGGAACACGTTCGTCAATCGAACGTAACATGCTTGTTTCGAAAATAATTCGTGTTGCGTCGGATTCATTTCGTGGGGTCACAACTGATTGCATTCTTTCTACCAGTGAAGATCTATTTCTCTCGGATGCAATTGTTACAGGTGTTAATGAGTAGATATTTAATACATTACTGTTGCCATCTTTCGCATACAAATTACGACGCAAGGTGGCGTGTAAAATATCAATAGTAGTAAATTTCATACAGCATGAGGTGCCCCGTAACGGTGCTTTATATACTTTTGGACCTCTTGCATGGGAATCAAACAACCAATAACAGGTGGTCTCCGACTGGTTGTTGCATGATACCGTTGAAAAAATGTAATCAAACCATTTTTTAAATTTGGAAATCCATCATCACCGTTATCAACATCAATGTGACCATTTACCGACATTTCATAGTGTTCCGGATTTCGAGCGCCACAATTTAAAGATTTATCTAATTAGTGCTCGACAACACCATCGGCTCGGCGTTGTCGTCGGTCGAAGGACTTATAAAAACACCGACGCCGCGACAAACGTCCTACTTCGTTTGCGCTCTTCAAACAAACGACCCGTAACACGCGACTAATTCGCTACGGGCTTCTTTACAAATTAAAGAATAAAGTACACCAAGTGAACTGGTTTATTGACTAAAGTATTGACAGTGTCGAATTCATTTCCCTGCACCCTTTTCCTTACAAAATTAACCGGCGTTCTTGCCTAGAGCAAAAATTAATACTTTACGCGCAACAAATGGTCCTTCGAGCCGGATTGTAAGGATATAAAGCAGTGCAGTGTCGCATAAAAACAATTTAATCGTGCGGTGAACATTAAAATTAGCGAAAGTGCAAAAATCTAAGCCGGATTAAATCGGCAGAACAAAGCATTTTGCACGTGTCGTTCGAACTTAACCGACATCGCGACCTCCGCCGGTAAACATTAAAGGACGTTCACGCGCTTCGCTTCGCGAAAACAGTGACGTGGTTATAACAGTTCACCTTGCGGGTACAGTACGTTTATTTGAAACACTTCACACCAAAACATTATGGATACATTAATCCGCGAAAATAAAGTGCATGCCCGGCTTATCAATAATGCACTTCTCAACTTTAAAAAACTGGGGAAGCAGAATCACACGCCTGCAGTGATTCGCAGCCGTATCAACCTGCTTAAGGATCACTGGGCCAAATTCCAATCCACGCAAATCCAGATCGAGGTTGCTGCATCGGAGGAGGACACCAGGGCGAATCCCTACTTCTCCAGCGACGTCTTCGGGGATACGGAGGCGGCCTTTCTCGCCGCCCTCGACGCTATGACGGCAGCCTTACCGACGAACTCCGAACCTGCAAGTAACTCATGTAATACGAGTACCGCTTCTTGTAATCGCGAAACTGCTCTGTCGGTCAAGCTTCCTCGGGTCGAATTGCCTAAATTCTCCGGGGACTATACGGAATGGGAGAATTTTCGAGACCTCTTTCAGTCTTTAGTTGGCTCAAATGACGCGTTACCGGAGGTGCAAAAGTTGCACTATCTTAAATTAAGTTTAATTGGTGAAGCGTCTCTTCTATTAAAGAACGTTTCCACTTCCGCGGCGAATTACGAGGCAGCGTGGATACTATTGACCAACAGATACGCGAACGAACGCGCGCTCATAACCGCTCACCTGAAAATGTTGTTCGACTCACCCCCGATCGGATCCGCTGTCTTAAGCGATTTAAAAAGTTTACGCGATAGATCTCGCGCCGCTTTAACGGCCTTAAAAAATATGGCTCGTCCGGTCGAATACTGGGACGATGTTCTTGTTTTTCACTTTGTCCGCAAGTTGGACAAGGAGTCCCATCGGGAGTGGGAGTTGCGCATGGGTGAAGAGGAATTGTTCCCATCCCTCGCGGATTGGGAGGCGTTCCTCAATGTGCGAATTCGCACTCTGGAATCGTTGGCGTCATCCCGCGGAGAAGGATACAGCGCCTGTAAAAACAAATCAGCGCCTATTAAAACCGTGAAAGCGCATTTGAACGCGGCGGAAACGAAATGCGTCGCGTGCGGCGCCGATCACGCGTTGTTTAGATGTGACGTGTTCCGTGGGCAATCCGTCGAACAACGATTATCACTCGCGCGCGAACATCATCGATGTTTTAATTGTTTACAAAAGGGGCATCTTCCGGCCGCCTGTCCTAGCAAACGCGCTTGTTCGATATGTAAAGGCAAACATCACACTCTTTTGCATTCCGAGCGAAAGGGTTCGAAGACGTCGTCCGTAAGCAAAGGTCGCGAATCGACCTCTCACGCGGATTCAGAATCAGGTCAACATTCGGCGCAACCTACATACGTAGCGGATAATAACATAGAAGACACGACGATGTCGACTTCGGTAAACACGCACTTCGGTACGTCGCGTCATGAAAAAAAGGTCGTTCTCGCTACAGCTTGGATCAAAGTCGGTACTCGTGAAGGCCGACAAGCGACATTACGCGCTTTAGTTGATCCAGGGTCGGAAGCAACGTTCATTCGTGAGAATGTTGCAAACGCGTTGCGCGCTAATCGCCAACACGTCCAAGCTTCCGTCTCCGGTATTGGGGCCGGGACGTCGGCCACGGTCCGCGCCTCCGCGAACGTCACAATTGAACCGTGCCACGGAAAAGGGCCCGTCATTCCAGTGCGCGCTCTTATTCTAAAACGGCTCACTAATTACCGCTCAAACTCAATAGACGCCTCGAGTAAATGGATACACTTACGTGGTCTGGAGTGGGCCGATCCTCTCACGAATAATAAAGCACCCGTGGACCTCATAATCGGCGCGGATAATTATGGTGCGATCTTGCTCGACGGTCTTCGAAAGGGCCTTCCCTCAGAACCCGTCGCGCAGAAAACGATTTTCGGTTGGGTGTTGACCGGTCCCGCTCGGTCCACTGAGTCTCATGCGATGCAACTCCACGTGCACTACGGCGACCTTAACACAGAAATAAACAATACGTTAAGGAAGTTTTGGGAGGTGGAAGCGCCTCCACCGGTAATGTTCCTCTCCGAAGAGGACAAACAATGTGAAGATCACTTTCGGCGGACTCACTCACGTAAACCTGACGGGAAATACGTAGCGCGATTGCCGTTTAAATCAGAGCCTCCCATCGATATTGGGGCTTCGAAAGGAATCGCGGTAGCCTCCTTTTATAGATTGGAGAAACGGCTCGGCAAAGACGCGGAACAAGCTACGGCTTATCACTCTTTTCTGGAGGAATACCTGCGGCTCGGTCACATGCGGGAATTTCTTGAATCAGACCCTCTTTTGGAGCAAAAGGTCTATTTGTCGCATCATCCGGTCATTCGTCAAGACAGTAGTACGACAAAATTGAGAGTGGTTTTTAACGCGTCGATGCCTACGTCAAACGGGTCTACGCTAAACGATCATTTACTGGTTGGTCCGAAATTGCAAGCTGACCTCGCGGTCACGATTTTACGATGGCGCATGTATCAGTTCGTGTTCGCGGCAGATATCGCGGAAATGTTCCGGCAAATCTGGATTGACCATCGTGACATCGCCTACCAGTTGATCGTTTGGCGCGCTAAACCCGACGATCAGCTTAAAACCTATGAATTACTTACCGTGACATACGGGACGGCCCCAGCGCCCTTTCTCGCGAATCGGGTCATCAAACAACTCGCACTGGATGAGGGGACTAATTTCCCTCTCGCGGCTCCTATCCTGAATGAGCATCTCTACGTTGATGACGCGCTTTTCGGGGCCGATTATCGAATGCTGGCTCGTCAAACACGGCAGCAGGTAACGGATGCCCTCAAACGCGGAGGTTTCCATCTAAGAAAGTGGTCAAGCAATTGTCCACAGTTATTAACGGAGATCTCCCACGCTGATCACGAGCTGGCCTCGAGCCGCTTATTTCAAGATGCCGAGGGATTAAAAATGCTAGGAATCCGCTGGCTACCTAAATCGGACGAATTTCGATTTCAATTTAAGTTCGACTCCGCTAGTACGACGAATCCGACTAAGCGCGTGGTTTTATCAAATATCGCGCGAATCTTTGACCCATTGGGGTGGATTTCTCCTATCGTCATCGTGGCCAAGATCTTCATGCAAAGGTTATGGGTGGCCAAGTTAGACTAGGACGAATCTCTACCTTGCGAATTGACCAACCAATGGCGCGAATATTCCGCGGAGCTCAAAGATTTACCAAAAGTAACCCTTCCGCGCTGGATTAGGATGGGAAATGCTACAATCGCGTACGAAATACACGGGTTTGCAGACGCTTCGCAAGACGCCTATGCGGCGGTAATTTATTTGCGAACAATCTCCATCGCGGACGAGGTTGCGTTACATTTACTTATGGCGAAGACAAAGGTAGCACCGTTGAAACCACTCACAATTCCGCGGTTAGAATTATGCGCGTGCGTCCTAATGATGCGATTGATCGAGCAGGTTCAGGCTACATTAAAACTCGATAACGTACCGGTCTACGGTTGGACTGATTCCACCGTTGCATTAGCTTGGATACATAGACATCCAAGTCAATTAAAAACGTTTACGGCACACCGCGTCGCGGAAATACAAAGCCGAGCGCCGAATGCTTCTTGGCGACACGTACCAACCGGTTGTAATCCCGCCGATTGTGCGTCCCGCGGGTTGTCGGTGAAACTACTGCTTCACTACCCCCTTTGGTGGCACGGTCCTGCCTGGCTGGCGCAAACTCCTAATGAGTGGCCAGAATTTAGGCCTGTCGTCCCGAGGGAAGCTGAGGCTGAAATCAAAACCCAGATCAATGCATTGCATGTGGAGTCGGAGACTGAGTGGGATCTGCCAACACGCACATCCTCGTGGCAAAAACTCCTCCGAATTACCGCGTACGTCACGCATTTCATTTTGCGAGTTAAAACGGGGAAACACGACCATCAAGATACGGTCGTCACTACCAACGAACTCGTCGCGTCGCGGAAATTCTGGGTTCAACAAGTTCAAGCGCGTTCATTTCGCAACGAAATAAAGGCCTTGAAAAAGAGCGAGTCTCTTGCTAAATCGAGTCCATTATTTCGACTGAATCCCTTTTTGGACGAAGATGGTACTATTCGTGTTGGCGGGCGGTTGCGCAACTCCGACCTTATGGAACGGTTTCCGATAGTTTTACCGGTGCATAGAGTCACAGAACTCATTATAGCAGATTGCCACGCGAACACGTTACACGGAGGCATTCAACTAACGTTAAGCGTTTTGCGACGAACTTACTGGGTTATTAACGCGCGGCGCCTAGTTAAAAGTCACATATATAAGTGTATTAGATGCGTGCGTTGGCGCGCAGCCACAGTTCGTCAGCAAATGAGTGACTTACCTACAGCTAGGGTCACTCCAGCTCGGCCGTTTGCTCATTGCGGAGTGGACTATGCGGGACCATTCTCCGCCCTCGCGCACCGCGGACGCGGGCAAAAGGCGCACAAAGTGTACATCGCATTGTTTATTTGCCTATCCACGCGGGCGATCCATCTGGAGTTGGTGCGCGACTACTCCACCGCGGCGTTTTTAGCGGCATTTAACCGATTCACTGCTCGTCGCGGCCTACCTACAAAGTTATACAGCGATAACGGAACGAATTTCCAAGGCGCAAATAAAGAGTTAAGAGCTTCTTTTAAACTAGTTACTGCCGATTCTCACCTTCGTGCGCTGTTTGCTGCAGACCACATCACGTGGCATTTCATTCCTCCCTCCTCGCCTCATTTTGGGGGAATCTGGGAAGCGGGCGTCAAGAGCGTCAAGACGCACTTGCGACGCATGTTGTGCGATCGTACGCCCACATGTGAGGAGTTCAATACACTCCTCTGTCAAATCGAGGCCTGTTTAAACTCTCGTCCCTTAGCTCCATTGAAGGACGACCTCGAGTCCTGCGAGGCCCTCACACCCGGGCATTTTCTAGTGGGCGGTGTGCTCAAGGTCCCTCCTGCGCCGTCTGTAATAGACATTACCGAAAACAGATTATCGCGCTGGCAATGGGTGCAACAACTCACCGAAAAATTCTGGAAAGCATGGGCTCACGAATATCTGCAATCGTTACAAGCTCGCTCGAAGTGGTGTAGTCGCGCCACTAACCTTAAAATCGGGGACTTGGTACTGCTGAAGAGCTCCACGCTTCCTCCGGGCAAATGGGACCTCGGTCGGGTGACCAAATGTCACCCTGGTAAGGACGGCCTCGTGCGAGTGGTCAGTATCAAGACCGCACGATCGGAATATACCCGTCCTGTAGTTAACCTATGCAAACTACCGATTAGCTCATAAGATTTAGTTTAAGGCAATGTATCATATATTCTACCATGTACATTCACAACGTTCTTTACGCGTATATTTATCGCTTACGCACGTATGTTCGATGTAAAAAATTCGGTTCATTACCTACCTTAATAAGAACTACGCAGCCTGGCACGACACGTTAATGGAACGTGCTCGTCACTACTCTTCATTCACGGCGTAGAATCGTGACGTCATTCGTCGCGGTCGCACGGCGCCGCGAGGCGGGCGGTATGTTCCGGATTTCGAGCGCCACAATTTAAAGATTTATCTAATTAGTGCTCGACAACACCATCGGCTCGGCGTTGTCGTCGGTCGAAGGACTTATAAAAACACCGACGCCGCGACAAACGTCCTACTTCGTTTGCGCTCTTCAAACAAACGACCCGTAACACGCGACTAATTCGCTACGGGCTTCTTTACAAATTAAAGAATAAAGTACACCAAGTGAACTGGTTTATTGACTAAAGTATTGACAGTGTCGAATTCATTTCCCTGCACCCTTTTCCTTACAAAATTAACCGGCGTTCTTGCCTAGAGCAAAAATTAATACTCTACGCGCAACACATAGTCAACGTTAATATTGACTCGTCTATTATTAAATGTTACATGTGGCAATAATTCAGTTGCGGCTAAATAGTCTACATTGATTTTGTTGAGGTTAGAAATACTCCGCGCTTCAATGCAATCACGATAATATTTATCTCCTACTATAACCACATAATCGACAGCAGTAGTACACCACGTACTAGGATCAAGGGAATGAAACGCAACACATGCAACTGCAGCTACGCCAGTACCCTGCTTACCACGAGATTCGATACTGAAGCGATCGCTAGCTTGATGAAACGTGCCTCGTAAAATAGCTACATTCTGACCAACGTCTACAAATCTACTGTTTGGTTCAGTATTTCATTGTGCAATTTCAATTTCCTCTGTTACAATAGCCGGCTGTTCAATGACATGAGCTATTTCGAAAATATTACTGGTTGTTGCGCGCAGAGAATAAATTTTTTCTCTGGACAAAATACCGGTAATTTTTAGTAAGGAAGGAGTTTTAATAAAGTTTTAGAAACACTTTTAATGTAAGTAATATAATTTAATAAACAAAAGGTTGTGTTGAGTCACTTCACACTGCGTGGCCTTTAATTAGTAAAGACAAACGGTTAGGTAAATGTACTTTCAGTCGAAGTACAAGACGAATTAGTCGCGTGATTAGAATCTTTGGTATAACTTGTTTTCGTCGTGAAGAGCGAAAGAGGAGGCCGCTCGTCGCCGCGTCGCGGTTTTTATAATCGTAAGCGCGATGACAACGTCGAAGTGTTTTCGGCGTCTGGCATAACTTTGCCTATTTTAAATTGGCGCGCTTAATCCCGAACAAACCGCCCGCCTCGCGGTGTCGTGCGACCGCGACAGGTGACGTCATTACTTACTAGTGAATAGAACGTAGTAACGAGCACATTTCATTGATGCGTCGTACCTTGCTGCGTAGTTTCTATCCGGGTAAGTGTTTTATATACTATCTTACATCTAACGTTGATAAGAAATTAATGCATATAATTACCGTAGAAAAATAGGAAAATAATATATTACAAGTAACTTAATAAATCTTAATAGCTAATCGGTAATTTACATAACCTAGCGATCGGACGGACATATTGCGAATGTGCAGTCTTTACGGTGACTACACGAATGAGGCCGTCTTTACCAGGGTGACATTCGGTCACCCGACCTAGTTCCCATTTCGCCAGGGGAAGCGTCGAGCTCTTGAGTAGAACTAAGTTCCCGATTTTGAGGTTGGGGACGCGACTACACCACTTCGATCGCTCCTGTAATGTGTGTAAGTATTCGTTCGCCCATGCTTTCCAGAACTTTTCCGTGAGCTGTTGAACGAGTTGCCATCTAGATAATCGATTCTCGTTGATTTCCAGTACAGATGGCACCGGAACCGATTTTAGTGCTCCGCCCACGAGAAAGTGACCTGGAGTGAGGGCCTCACATGACTCGAGGTCATCGTTTAACGGCGCCAAAGGACGTGAATTTAAACATGCCTCGATGCGGCAGAGGAGCGTAGATAGTTCCTCGCAAGTAGGCGTACGATCGCCGAGCATGTGTCGCAGATGGGTCTTGACGCTTTTGACCCCTGCCTCCCAGATTCCTCCAAAATGAGGAGCTGCAGGCGGAATAAAGTGCCACGTGATGTAATCGGCAGCTAGACGCGAACGAAGGTAAGGGTCTGCCGTTACTTGTTTAAATGCGGTCATTAATTCCTTATTAGCGCCTTGGAAATTAGTCCCATTATCGCTATATATATTCGTAGGCAATCCGCGGCGAGACGTGAAGCGTTCAAACGCCGCTAGAAACGCAGAAGTGGAGTAGTCGCGCACCAATTCGAGGTGGATAGCGCGAGTCGCCAAACAAACAAAAAGAGCGATGTAGACTTTCTGCGCCCTTTGCCCACGTCCATGATACGCGAGAGCAGAGAATAGTCCTGCATAATCCAGGCCGCAATGGACAAACGCCCGAGATGGAGTGACTCTAGCCGCAGGTAAGTCGCTCATTTGTTGACTTGCGGTGACAGCCCGCCAACGCACGCACGTGACGCATTTGTGTATGTGGCCTTTAACTAGCCGTCGCGCGTTGACGATCCAAAACGTTTGCCGTAAAACATTTAACATTAACTGCGTGCCCCCATGTAACGTGTTCTCGTGACAATCAGCGATGATGAGTTCGGTGATTCGATGAACCGGTAATATTATCGGAAAGCGTTGCGGAAGTTCTGCGTTGCGCAACCGCCCGCCAACACGGACAGTACCATCTTCGCCGAGAAACGGATT